CTTTGATTATGTTTGTCCTTTGTCTATGTTTGCGCTTTGTTTATGTTTGTTCTTCGATTATATTTGTTCTTCGTTTTTGTTTTTATTGTTTATATTTGTTTTTGTTTGTTTTTTTTTAGGTTCCTCTATTAACTGTTGTTGCTTGTGTCAATGATCAATGTTTGTATTTCTTTCGAAACTTTTTTCCCGGCGTTATTTTTCACACACACACACACAAACACACACATTCACACACACAACACAAACACACACATTCACACACACAACACAAACACACACATTCACACATACATGAAAAATTTTAAAAAAGATTTTGCCGCGAAGATGATTACTCCGATTGGTTGGAAGACCCGACAAAACTTTCTAACTCCCAGAAAAAAATTAACAGAAAAAAAGCAACTAACAAACACATCAAAAATAATAAAAATATAGCAATTACAACAACAACAACAACCAACAACAAAAACAACAACAATAATAATAACAATAATAAAACCAAACAATACATTTTTTCTGGAAGTATAGCTACAGGCTATAAGTGTGCTTGATAAGGCAATAATCAATACTCTGATGCTGGGCTTATGAATGAATGTATGTATGTATGTATGTACGTATGTATGTATGTATGTATGTATGTATGTATGTATGTATGTATGTATGTATGTATGTATGTTCGTATGTATATATGTATGATGTATGTATGTATGTATGTATGTATGTATGTATGTATGTATGTATGTATGTATGTATGTATGTATGTATGTATGTATGTATGTATGTATGTATGTATGTATGTATGTATGTAAGTATGTATGTATGTACGACTGTAAGTATGTTTGTATGTGTGTAAGTATGTATGTATGAACCCATGTATGTTTGCTTGAGTGCGTGCATATATGTATGTGTATGTTCTATTAAATACAATCAAATACTTCGCTGAATGTACGTTTACATATGTCAGACTTAAATATAGTTAGCTAGTCTGTGGATGCATACATGCTAGAGCTGAACATGGGAATCGGAATCACGGGACTCAAATGGGAATTGGTAAAAGTTATTTTTCGGAAGTGGAATACTCGTACACATGTGACCTATACACATAGGCTCACACGCGCGCCTCAACTAATCCTGACCCTATTTCGAAGAAATTTTTAATTTAAATATTAAAGTTTTTTACTCATGTCTTATGGCCTCATAGAATATTTCAATTTTTACATTGTTTGGTAATGGAGACGTGTTTGTAGATCTGCATTCATAATAATGCATTGTGTTTTTTGTGTTCAAAAATTTTAAAATGGGAAACCAGAGGGAAAACGAGGGATTGGCTTAAAAAATACACACATACACACGTACAAACACACAAACATACAGGCGAAACGAACCGAAAATGCAAACACACATACATACATACACCGCATTACAAAATTTCATCTCTATTGTTGGTCCATTCAAGTCAACGTTAACAGCATCAGAAGACCATTTCTGAATATATTTATTCCATCATTGCCTACCGGCGAACGCTGTTGCTGCTACAAGCCACAAGCCACCTCAGCTATTTGTCAGCCAACACATCACACGCACACGCACACACATCTACATAAACATAGCTAATACATGATACTCACCGCAAATGGTCGTGTTCTTAATACCACATGAGCTTAACCAGCTAATACAATAAATCTGTTTTTTCTGTTTTTTTTTTTATTGTATTTAGTGGGTATTGACTGAAATGATTGCGTGTGTTTATATTTGTATGGTTGTATGTATGCTAGTTGTATGTTTGCATGTATGGTTTTTGTATGTTTGTTTATATGGTATACATATATGGTTGTTGTTGTTGTTGCGATTGTTGTTGCGGTTGTTGTTGTGGTTGATGTTGCGTTAGTTTTATTTTGATTGTTGTTGTTGCGATTGATGATGTTGGTGTAGTTGTTGTTGTTGTTGGGAATGACGTCGTTAATGTCACGCGGGCTTCCATTCTAATTGAAATATTTTCAATTTGGATTTTCTTTCGAATAGAAATTATTATCATTTTATGTTCTCTCACTACAAGAAATATGATTACCATTGATTTTGTATACGTGTGTGTATGTGTGTTGGGGTGTGTGGGTGTGTGCGTGTGCGTGTTCTCCAGGTTTTTGCATATTGAAGCTTATTAAATGTTAATCTGTTGTTTTAGTGCAATTGGGATGGGTTCAACTAATGAATGAACTTTGTTGGCTTTGTTTTGTTTTTATGAGTGTGTGTACGTGTGTGCGTGTGTATGTGTGTGTGTGTGTGTGCGCGCGTGCCTGTGTGTGTAGGTATGTAGAAACATTTGTATGTTTGTTTACATGCTTAGGATGGTTGGTATATGTAATACATGTTGATATTTTAAAGGATGCGTAATGCATTGTATTTGTGTGAATTTGTATGTGCTTCTGTGTATGTTTGTTTGTATATTTTGTATACATATTTGTATGTTTGGCATACTGTATGTATACACTTCAAGATGGATCTTTTTGCCAGTGGCTACTGGAATGTGCATGTCGTGACTGCTGTCTTTGCATGCTTGGGAATAATTAAGTAGGTATGTGTGTGTATGTGTATGAGTGTGTGTTTGTGTGTGTAGATGTGTGCGTGTGTGTTAGTGCGCGTGTGTGTTAGTGCGCGTGTGCGTGCGTGTGTGTATATTGGCTTGAAAGTGGCTGCATAAGTGGATGTATAAGAGGATTTTGCACTTTCTCAGCATTATTGCTAATAATATTATGACGTCATCCTAATCAACTTCCTCTTCTTCCTCATCATATCATCGTCATCATCGTTATTGCCATCTTTGACGTCATCATCACCAGCAGCATCATCATCTTCATCACCGGCAGTAGTAGTAGTAGTAGTAGTAGTAGTAGTAGTAGTAGTAGTAGTAGTAGTTTCATCATCATCATCATCATCAATATCATCATCATTTTGATTCAAAGTATGATAAATTTCATCATTATTACGTTGGGAATATTGAAACTTCGCAATAATAACGGATTAAAATAAAATTTGAAAAAAAAATAATTATAACTATAATTATTTGAGAAATTATGAAATTAAATTTTTTTATAGTTTTTAAAGTATAAGAAGACCAACATTACAGTCCCTGTCAGTGAGACCGTGACAGCCAGCCGCACACTCGTCGTGGCAGCAGACGCTGTTGTGGTAGCATCTTCCGTTGCATCTGTCGGAACAGGACTTCGATATCTTTGTCACTGATCGGAGAGTTGATCAATGAATGAATGAATGAATGAATGAATGAATGAATGAATGAATGAATGAATGAATGAATGAATGAATGAATGAATGAATGAATGAATGAATGAATGAATCAATCAATCAATCAATCAATCAATCAATCAATCAATCAATCTATCTATCAATCAATCAATCAACCAACCAATCAGTTAATCAATCAGTCAATCAATCAGTCAATCAATCAATCAGCCAACTATTTAACAAACCAACCGACGGACCAGCCAACCGACCAACTAAATCAACGGACACTAACATTTTTGGCATTCATGGGCACCAGAACCCCAGCAGTACGATTTTCTATTGACCACACAGGCTTTTGAGCACTCAGGGCCTTGCGTGCGTGTGTGTGTGCGTGTAGATGTTTGTGTGTGTGTGCGTGCGTGTATGTGTGTGATAATTTATTATCATTACCAAATATAACAACAACTACAACAACAACAATAGTAGAAGCAGAAGCAACGACAGCAGCAGCTGCAGCATCAACACCCACAACTTCTCCTAGTGGTGGCCTGTACCCCTTGCACCTGGAACATGACGTCAGAGGTGTTCTTCCGGAACATGTCTCTCCAGTCAACGGTGTTTTCGTGGCAGAGAAGGGGGTTGTTGTGGATCATCACCGCCCCTTCCATAATTTCTAAAGAAGGTGTAAGGGGTAAGGGTTGAAATGAAAAAGAGACAGAATGAAGCAGGTGACAAAGAGAGTAGGAGAAACTGAAAGAGAGAAGAGACGAGACAATTCTACGTTTTATTTAACAAAAAAAATTATATGAAAAATAAATGTCAGAGAGCCGACAAAAGTGAAACTTTAAAATCTCTTCCAGTCTGACCACCCACCCAACAACAACAACAACAACAACAACAACAGTAAAATCAGAGGAAGATAAAAAAAAGAAAAAGCGAGAGGAAGAGAAAGAGTAAGAAATAAAATAAAATATTAATAAAAGAAAAAACCAGGAGAGAGAGAGAGAGAGAGAGAGAAAGAGTGGAAATTTTTTTTAAATTCCTGTATATTTATCGTACACTGTCCAGTCCATTGTTTTTTGCAAAGAATAGAGAAGGGTGAACAGACGAAATTGTGAAAAAACGAAAACGAAAGAAAGAAAAAAAAAAGAAAAAAAGAAAAAAAGAGAGAGAGAGAGAAAGAGAGAGACAACAAAGACAAATAGCTAATAAACTGAGAAAAAAGCTGAGGAGACAGTTAAAAATATGAAAAAACTCACCGATCGAATGAATCGATATGTGGAAAATGAAAAAATTTTTAGAGCAAAAGCAGAAATGAGAAAAAAGAATCAAAAAAAAAGAGAGAAAGGAAGAATGAAAGTGAGAGAGAGAGAAAAAAGAAAGAAAAGGAAGAGAGAAAGAGCGAAATGAAAGAAAGAAATTCAATGAAACGATGAGGATAATCAAATATGAATGTTGACGTGGAAATAACGATGGAGCGCGAGCGGGAAAAATATTACAAAAGACTTTTTGAAAAATTCTGGGTAAAAGAAAAACTAAAAGTGAATTTTTGTGGTAAAACTGATTCTGTGGAAAAAATACGCGTTGCTGGGATATGATGATGATGATGATGATGAAATGAACGAACGAAAAATGAGTAAAATTGGCATTGACAATAATGTTGGTGATAATAAGGACGTGGATGACGATGACGACGATGTTGTTGCAGTCACTACTGCTGCTGCAACTGCTGCTGAAAATGATGATGAAAATGATGTTGATGAAAATGATGATACTAGTGGTGAAGATGATGACGACGTGATACTAGAGAGAATTCATTCCACGTTTTTCACTCGCCTCTAAATAAATAAATTTGTAAATTAATTAAAATCCTTCCTTCTAAATAAGCTTATGCGGCTTCTCGTATGGAAAAGGAGGAAGAAGAAGAAGAAGAAGATGATGACGACGATGAATATGATGACGATGTTGACGATGACGATGTAGAAGTTAAACGACAGCGCTGCCTTGGCAACGCTTCAAGACGCGAAGTTTGGAGCGATTGAAAATTTAATCGTGGACTGTCACCATGATGATAATCACAAAAATAATAATTAAGACAACAACAAGAACAACAACAATAACAACAATAATAACAACAACAACAATAAAAAAAACTTACTAACCAATGAGATTGTAGAACCTCAACTCTTTCAGGCCAACTTTAAACGGTCGATTGACGTCAATGTTCTTTGCAACGTACAAACTATAACGTCCCAGGTATAAGTTTTCACCCCTATTTCAAACATACAAACATACATACAAAAAAACAAACATACATACAAACAAAAAACAAACATACATATAAACAAACAGACATACATACTTAATACTAAATATACATACTTAAACTTATCAATCAATCATCGTTTAGCGTCCAGTGACCCAGTTCTCCCGAGGTAGGGCGTATACTTAAACATACATACAAACAAATACATATACATAACATTTACAATAAAATACAATACAATATTTTTATTTGGCCACAAAATTTGATATATATATATATATATATATATATAAAAGAATAAATAAATACAAACATACATACATACATACATACATATATATATATATATATATATCCATACATACATACATACACCTGGGTGATGGAATCGTCCGAAGGGGTGCAACAGGGTGACCCTTTGGGACCGATGTTGTTTGCTCTGACCCTACACCCGGTGTCGGAAAAATCTCTTTCAAAATTCGTTTGCGGCTACCTGGACGATATCAGTTTGGCCGCCGAGGGTGCAATTTTAGCTACTGATTTCCTGTCTTTGAAAGACAATGCCTCCATCATTGGGCTTGAGCTTAATAATAAAAAATGCGAATTTTACGCAAATGACTCCTTTGAAATGCCACAAGCAACTCGATCACCACGGCCTGGTCTGTCGTTTGGGTGGCGGTCGTCTGTTGCGCCATTCCGCGTTAAATGATTACATCTGCTGGCTTTTCTCCAAGGCTTTAAAACCCGTTCTTAAAAAGCCCTCGAGAATTTCCGCGCTTGATGGAAAACGCCCGGATGGCTGCACATTGATTCCTTGGAGAGCCGGTAGATGCCTGGCGTGGGACGTAACCGTTCCGGGCACATTAGCGGAACGGTACGTGCACTTAACCAGCAAGGAAAGTGGTTTGGCCGCAACCAGGGCATCGGATGAAAAGATTAAGAAATATGAAGGTGCCCTGCCCTCGATGGATTTTTTAGCTGTTTGCATCGAGGTTCTTGGCCCGATGGACAACAACACTTCAATATTTTTTAAAAAGATTTCTAAAATGATAAGTGGCAGGTCCGGCGACAGCAGAGAGCTT